TTTAAAAAACAACATTCATTTGAATTGATTGGAGACAAACACCAAACAAACACACGTTTAATACTGTGCTCAAACTTTGTAATACATATTTATATAGAGATTTATATATAGTTTAGTTAATGATTTGATAAATAATAATAAAAACTGTATTTATATATAGTTTTTAATGGCATTCATTCACCTGTAGTTCAAATAAAACAAAAATATATGTATAAGTGTTTTGTTATATTTGAGAGAATTTAGGGTTAATTTAATTCTAAAATATATAGATATAGACAACAAATGAATGAAAAGTCCAATAAAATAACAATAAATACTGATATAAATATATGTGAGACAAGTGTTTGCCATTTACACGCAAACAGGAGTCAAACATCGCTTCCAATATAGGACTAAATCAATGATTTAAGTCATGAGACGAATAGAAAGCAAAAACAGTTTATGAGTTTTTATGGCCTCGCGAGTCAAGTGGTAAGAGGTGTACGACTGGTGACACACTTCCCACTCAACGACCGATAAGTTTTATGCTTTTATTGACAATTAGTTATTCATTCAATATTTGTTTGTATAATAAATAGTAATTTTCACTAAATTTTGCGAATTTACGCTAAAAATCAATGACTTAAATAACTTTTTACTCTGCATTTCATTATATGCTAAGTTTGTAGCATTACTTTAGACCTGAGTTTACACTTTTTGCTCGTTTTTATACAATTATTCACTATTACTATAAGCTATTTGTACAGCAATTTCTCCAACAGTCGATTGTGTCGATTAGATGTCATATAAAGTCCTATATTTGTGTCATTTTTATGAGCAGTTGTTTGTCTTTTTAAAGACATATCATTAGAAATGAGTGAAATATTTATAATATTTTTGGACTATTTTTTCACATTTTATTGTATAGTGAAGTGAAGGTGCGATTTATAACTAATATTTGCTACGAGTTTGGCGTTTAAATTAACAGCTAAACCCAGGCATACATCAAATGCCTGCCTGTAGGGAATTGGCGATGTGTTGCCAGAGATCCTTTTTGCAGGACTTAGACCGACGCAGACTTTGCAACAGTTCGTTGAACTGGATGTTACCGCCCGGTGTCAGCTGGAAGGCCGCCCGCGCCGCCCGTATTATAATCACAAACTCCTCGTAATCCGCGGACGTGATGTGATACATCTTGAAGTGCGTACACGCTATGAACCTGTGGGTAGGGAACAGACAGAAGGGTAGGGGTCAGTCATATGAGCACATACTAGACAACTGTGAGTGCGCTTACATTTGTTGGCATTTCTGTATTAATGGAGTCAACAGATGTGAGCGAATGGGATGAGCGATGCCGGGAGTGGCCGAGTGGGTCAGGTATTGTGCGGTGTCTAACACGATCTCATGCAATACGAAAGGCGACGCCACGCTATTGACAGTACAGATGCAGAAGTCCTGCAGATATGACGTTCCTGTGGGCACACAAACACATAGATTAGACAAACCATAGACAGACATAGCGTTAGTATAGCAATAAATACCGAGTTTTTTGGCCACATTTAAGAGCCATTTGACGTCTTCACCATACGATGGGTTCTTGGCGTACTTGGCCTGTGGCCTGTCGTCGTGTACTCTGCGCGCCAGTGTCTCCATGGCCAGCATTCCCACCCTATAGGCCGACAATAAGTATCCCAATTGTCTTTGATTGAGTTGTTGTAACTGTTGGTGCGGTTGAGCGGACAGCGACTGAACTGAGTTCATGTGTATTGTCTGTTGCGGATGAGATCCGGCGGTTGTGGCGATTGTGATGATATGCGGTCGCGGGAACTGCTGCTGCTGTGGACCACTTTGGGCGACGCTTACGGAAGGCATTAACGGCTGGTTTTGGAACAGAACGGGTGTCATAACACTCCGCAAATGGGGTAATGGCCCGGCGGTTGTGGTCACCGGATTCGGATAGAATTGGTAGGGATATGGAGGACATGTAGGCGCCGATGAGATGTATTGAAACGGTTGCATCGGTTGCGGAAATGGCGCCAAACTTTGGTAATAACCGAATGGAAAAGCGCTGTTCGGATGGGGAGGTAATGCGAAGGGACCGGTGGGTCCGCACGACAGCGATGGCATCACTTGCAGGGGAACCGATTGAGTGGTCACTGACGGCGCCTGAACTGGCATTATGTTTGCCTGTTGAGGGGCACCGGCCATAATGGGGTCGTATTGGGGCTGTCGATCGTTTTGGAGCATCACGTGGTTCTGGTCGGCCATACAGAGGCCGGGGTTCGGGTTAATGGCGTTCACGACCACCGCCTGTCTCTCATTGTTGACCGCATTGTTGGAGGCGTCGACCGAAGCGTTATTGCGATGCGAATGCCTTTGCAGTGCATTCCTACCCCTTTCCTGTAGGCTTTCCTCGTATAACTCGTACCACTTTCTCGCCACTTCAAACAGCACCTCCGGGTATACGCCCCCACCCTTTGCGGCCGACTCCACGGCCAAACACGCTCTCTCCAGCATCTCATTGCTCTGTTCCTTACACTGGATGAGCGCCCTTTGAATCTCATTGGGGTTGAGTGCGTGTGCGTGGGGTAGGCATGAGAGGGCCAGTTCTGCGGCCGCCCTAACCATCGTGGGCTCCCGACCCCTGGACGCCCTGTCGGCCAGTGAGGCCACTTCGGGCGGAGTCAGGTGTCCCTCCCAGGTCTCAATCAGGAAGTTGATGGCGGAGTTGCCGATCTCCATGGCCTGACCGGTGATCCAGGACACGTGCGACGAGTAGGTGCGGGACAACCAGTTGGGCGACACAGTGTTGTGGAGCCCCAGAGCGTAAACACCGATTTGAAAGGCGCACATATGTAGCGACCGGTGCGGTCCGCGACAGTTCTGTGTAGCCGATGGTTGCGTGAAGAGTACGGCTGTCGTACTGTTGCCGCCGGCCTTCACGAGCACTGTCTTCGCCAACTCGAACATGAAGTGCGCCGACGCTTCCGACGGCTGGTTTGGTATGGAAGGGTAGGCGCGCTTCCCTTTGAAGCGAATGGGTTTCATAGTGGCGTTGGCCGACACGAGTGGTGAGCCGTTCATCACGAGTGGTGTGGTATTACAGCAAGTGGTGGACGGGGATGTAGTGCTGCCCACACCGGCATTGGCTGGCGGAGGGTTAGCGACACCGGCGGCTGTGGCGCGCGAGTTGGACACAACGGTCGGGTCGGTTGTCGTGCAAACGGTGGCTAATCTCTGGGCCACAGCATTCACTTTAGGACTCTCGACATCCCGGGGCTTATTGCGGACGCCTTTGTCGCCCGAAGAGCTCGACGAGAAGGAGTCACTGCTCTCACCACTACTGCCGCTATCACTGCCCGGTCCTCCCGGTCTAATCCACATCGACCGGCGCACGACTGTCGGCGAGTTATCACTGGACGTGGTTTCCGGTGCACTGCTGTCTATGCTGGCCATCCCTACCGAATGCTTTTTATTAGTCCTAAAGTTAGTGCATCGGAAGCGCGCCTCCCATGCCTTGTAGTCCTCGTCCCAACAGGGACTGGAGGCGTCGTCTGTCCGTTCGGTATCACATTTAGTCGTCTTCGTCGGGATCTTGAAGTCACGAGAAGTCGAGTCGCGGTTCGCTTCGGTCGGCGAAGAGCTCTGTAACGAACTGCTCGTCTCATTGGAGGCGAAACCACTGGACGTTGTGTTCGACTCGTTATCTTCGGTCTCCTTAGTGTTAATCACTTCTTGTGGACAACTCTTTGAAGGTGTGGTCGTCGGAGTGGAGGCACCGGTAGTGGCGCTCGCGTTGCTATTGGATGAGTTGCTGCCGAAACTGTCGGCAGATGTTCTGTACATTTGGTGAACTTCTTTGTCCAGAAGTTTGTCCATAATTTTATGCAACTTTTGCTGGTCGTCCTTATAGTGCACTAAGAGTGTGAGCACCAGTTCTCCCCTCTGGCGACGGGTTCCCTCGCAGAGCAGTGGGTGCTCGGCCTCCGAGACGTTGGCTTTGAGTCCGAGTGCGGCCACCCCTGCCTCAAAACCCAGCCTTTCATCGGTCGGTATCTTAACGTTGTTTACAATATTAGATCGCATTTGGTTTTGATTGGAGGACAACACCAATGCGTCGAATATATATGAGGCCAGCATTAGAGGCAACAGAGCCTCGCCTCTGGTGGTCAACAGGCCGTCCCTCAACTGTTCGGCCTTTTCCCTCACAATTTGCATCATTTTGTGCGACAATGGGATGCGTTTAAGGAGAACCACTAAATCCTGTTCCTGATTCGCGAGCTTCACTTCCAGGGCTTTGGTGGAGGCGGGCGGGCGCGCTATCTCCAGACCAAACAGACCCACCCGGAAGGCCAGGTAGTGGTAGTCGGAGTTCTCGCCCAACACAGAGCACAGGAAGGCAGCCTTCGAGAGCGTGGCCGACGCCAGTAGACTCACCTGATGGCAGACCGGATTGAAGCGACGGTTCCGTTTTCCTCTGGCGGGTGGGCTCGGAGTGTCGACCAATAGGTTCGGCGGATTCGACAGCAGCTCTTCGGCCAGTTTGACGGCCAGATGGCACGCCTCCAAAGTCCTTCCGTGGGCGTGAAGTGCCTCCGCTCTGGCGAACAGTATCTCAATGGGGTCTTCGATCTTCTTGACGGCAACCGTAATGTTGTCGTCGCTGTCGTTCGCTTTCAGTATCGCCGACGACTTGAGCGCCTGTAGTTTCACGGCCAGTGAGGGCTCGTTACCATTCTTACTGTCGTTGGCTTTCGAGCCGTAATAATATAACTCGAATTCATTTAAATCTCTGCTTTTGTCGGCAACAGCGGCGCCAGTATTCACGGCATTACTGTTGGCGTCCAATGGGTTGGCGTTACTCTCGGCGCTCAAATCGCTTCCATTCTCGTCGGCAATCATATCAGTGCTGTCACTACTGCTGTCCCTCAAGACTGCGACTGCCGTCCGGAGGGCTCTGTTCTCGTCGACCGACAGCTTGGCTTCGATGGCAACCATCGGCTCATCGAATGTTTCGTTCTCTGTCTCACAGAAGCCTTCGCTACTCAAAGAACTGCGATTCGATTCATTCAGTTTCCCACTCTTCGCACTCATAGATGAGATCAAATGCGGCGAATGAATCATGGGTTGAGTTATCTTAGAGGTCGATGGCGTCGGTTGCAATGACGACGATGACGATGGCGTGGCTTTCGGTTCGCTTAAATGGTTGGGCGACGGGGCGGATGTCTGTCCGATCTCTACGGATCGGCCCCTTCGCGACAAATTCTTGACGGCATTCAGACCGTCAGTTGTGGTCGCCTGGCATGAGATGAGTCCGGAGTGAGTGGAGGCGTGCACTGGAGGCGTATACCATCGGTTGGAGCGAATGCCGTAATAAGTAATGCCGGGAATGGGATAATCACTCCAATCCATTAGACACCCTTCCATTGCCGGCTTAAACCCGGGAAACACATCGATGTCCGACTTCTTGATGCCATTACCGCCGTTGCCATTATTGATGGTGGACTTCATTTTGAGCACCCGTTCCAGTGTCTTGAGGTGCCAGTCGTGCAGCTGATTGTAGAACAGTTTGGCGTCGTTTGGCGAGAGGGCGGGGTTGAGAGCCACAAGACGCCAGAGCACCACCACCTCATCGCACAGACTACTGCACGCGTGTTGCGAGGCGTGTGTATTGCTGTGAATACTAGATCTGTTTCCGTGACCATTGATTCCCGCGTGGAGTAGGACTTTGGTGTTGAACCACCAGAGGATGATCTGATCGCACGCCAACACCTCTTCCGTGAGAATCTCGAGCAACGGAATGGCGTTCCGGTCGCTGCGGCGCAACATTTCCCTCACAATGGACAGCAGGTTCCACATGCCCTCCGGCTCCCGACCCCGCAGTGGCCTCAATAGGCTCGACCACTCGGCAGCGGCTGGCGGTGCCGTTGAGGACAAGTAGTTCACGTCACTGAACACTATGGGCGACGGGACGCACAGCTTAATCAGGATTTTGCGGATATTCTCGTGCAGTTGACTCTCATCTAAACACCATTTGGTCTGTTCTTGAGCTGAAGCGCCGGCTGTTGGGTCGGGCGCTCCGCAGACCGTGTTTATGGCCGTCAACTGATTGGACAGCAACTCATCGAGAAGTCGTTGAGCGGTGGGTAGTATTTGTTGCGGCAATTCGCTGATCAGGTACTGAGCAAACTTCTGCAACTGATCTCTATGCAGACGGGACAGGGATTCAGATACAGGTGCGCGAAGACATACTAGGGTTGGCTGTCGATCAGTACATGACATTAGTTTACAATCAAATGAGAGAAACATTGAGTGATTAGACGAATGCATACCTGATGGATGCGAAAGAGACAAACGGACACTACATGCGAGCACCAGGAGGGTCCGGGACACGTGCAGTTGCACGACGTGATACGCCTCCTGTCGAAAGTAACGGCCACATTGTACGAGCCCTTAGAGATGCCCAACGATTGTGGAGGGGTTACCGTTGCGCTCAAATGAAAACCTATTGTCCATGCAATCAAACAACACGTTTGAGACATTAGTGTCCAAAACACACTCCACGTATGTATTAACCGATTTGCAAGAGTTCTTTGACGGCCTTAGCCTTCAGCAGATTCTCTCCCCTCTGGAACTCATCGGCCGATCCATTGGCTAAACACGAGTAGAGACGGATGTCCTCTTCATTCTCGGGGAAACTCCAGAAGGCGATCCTCAACTGGAGCTGTTCGGGAACGGGAGGCGATACGTGCTCCACCACCTCGAAGGGTATATGACAGGCCACCGTCTGGGCCGACAGTTCCACCAGTGATAACAGATTGTCATCTTTGGGGTGACAAACAGACAACACATTAATCTTTGAGTGGTTTTTGAGTGCAAACACTAAAACTGATTTGTATTATGATTTAGTCTCTCATTTCTTATCAAAACGAAACCCAAAATGCATTTAATTATAGATTTTTATTGAATATGTTTTGTTTGTTTGGAAACTAATCTAAAAATAAGATAAACACTGAAGACGTGAATATAGTGTACAGTATTGCCATATAGTGTACAGTATTGCCAATGTATGCGCTGGAGAGAGAGCACTGATATGTTATATAACTAGAGGTTAGGCTGAGGTTAGGGTTATTTTAGGTCACCATAAGATTTGATAACAGAGTGGAGGGGCTCTCATGCAGGGCTCCTACATCTCAGCAGCGCCTATACGTCTATGTCTTAAGCCATATATCTTAGAGACAAAACAAATACTTAAAAAACACAAACTAATGGCGAATATAATGGGAAACTCATGCCCGGATGAGACAAATACATGGCATGCATATAGGTATAGGTGTTTGTCATACAGACCTTTGTGTTTGCAATTCGGGATCAAATGGTTGGAAGTGTTGGCGTAGTTGAAGGCAATGGAAGAGCTGTTAAACTTCTTCCAACCCCTCCAGTTGTTGCAGACGGACTCGGGCTCCGACATCCACGAGCACAGGGAGTCCTCTTCGAAGCGCTCCGAGTCCTCGAAGGAGAAGCGGTCGCCGTCTTCCCAGTCAAACATGTCTTCGGATCACACGCACAGACACTGAGAGACCACACCGAGACAGACACTCACCACTCACTGGATCCCAACCACCACTGGATCCCAACCACCGCTCACTCACTGTCCCCTCAAACACGAGTCGTGTTTACTGGCAGTCAGTGGCGCTCATTGGCGGCGATGTCTGTGCCGGAGGTTACCATTACCATCGATGGCCTCACGAGTGATCAACAAATGCAATGACAAAGTCCTAGAGTTTGCCGCGAACCGCAAGAATGGGCTCACGATTTGTGGCCAAACATTGACGAGAAGATCAATGTATTGGACGTCCACTCAAACCGATGGTTGCATTGTCTCATCAAATGGTCACGAAGTGGTCCACCAATTGGGTTGTGTGTGACTCACGAATGTGTGGCACAACTCACGCACTGATGTCTTGTGGAGTGAATGAATGGATTGAATGACTGATTGTCGGACTGTATGGACACAAAAGGCGACCCAAAGTGTCGTCTAATGTCTCAAAGCGTTCACTGAATGCGAGATTCAGTGATAACAACACAACTCAATGCTATGTCTAATGCTATCCAATGCTATGCAGACATACACTGAGACACAGCAGAGGTATACAAAAGCCTTACGTCTAAACACTTCTCTCTCGCACTCACTCTCCGTCTCTCTCTCACAGACTCTCCGATCGAAAGGCAAACACAAAGACTGCGAACCCCTTGGAGTCGACACTCGCGTCGACGAAACCCCCCAACAGTTGAGCCAATCGTACGGCCAGTCGTGCGCTCGACAGCCCTTCCAAACGCTCGCTCACTGTCCCCTTACGTCACACACTCTCTCCCCCACACACACTGTCTGTCACTAATTACCGGCCCATCCACTCCCCTAACCCTTAGCCCCCTTTCAGTGGTTTGTATGACTTTCCTATGGCACTCACCCTTTATTATGTAATGAGTTTTCCCTACCATTTATGACACGATATCTATGAAAAGTTTAATAAATAAATTTTTCTAAAAACAAATGCATTAAATATTACATAAAATATGTTTCAATGGATTTATTTGAAATCTCATTGGAAAGCATTAAGCGATTAGTATTTGGGGACAAAAATAGTCTAATTATAGTATTTATGTTATAAAACTTGGAGTCATTCATATATTTCGCTAACTATTGATTAGTGTTAACACAACCCCTCTGTCTCTATCCAAATGCTATTACAATGGCATTGAATGTGTTTACGAGTAAAACCCCTGTTATATGTAGTTTATGAATGATTGCAAACCATATGATTGCAATTGAAATGCATTTGATTTTTGTTTTGAAAGCGATTTAAAAGATTAAAAACAAAATTAAAGGCAATTTGTAAACAACACGACAATCACTGCTAATAATGTCTCAATTGATGCACAAATTGAATCGACTCTTGTGTCCAGTCGTTGATAATAGTCTCAAAATGAATGGTAAGTCTTCGCCGACACTATATTAACGTGTTTTGCGGCCATCGGTTCATAAAAGCTTTGTTTTCGTGTCTTTCAGTCACATTCACCGCAAACATACTGTCCGTCCGCTACCGGAAAGCCTTAGTTCCGCGCAAACACGTGGAGCCGGACTTCCGGCGCAAACAAATGCTGGCCGTCTGTGAGCCACGTGAAGTGCCTCCGCTCTGGCGAACAGTATCTCAATGGGGTCTTCGATCTTCTTGACGGCAACCGTAATGTTGTCGTCGCTGTCGTTCGCTTTCAGTATCGCCGACGACTTGAGCGCCTGTAGTTTCACGGCCAGTGAGGGCTCGTTACCATTCTTACTGTCGTTGGCTTTCGAGCCGTAATAATATAACTCGAATTCATTTAAATCTCTGCTTTTGTCGGCCACAGCGGCGCCAGTATTCACGGCATTACTGTTGGCGTCCAATGGGTTGGCGTTACTCTCGGCGCTCAAATCGCTGCCATTCTCATCGGCAATCATATCAGTGCTGTCACTACTGCTGTCCCTCAAGACGGCGACTGCCGTCCGGAGCGCTCTGTTCTCGTCGACCGAGAGCTTGGCTTCGATGGCAACCATCGGCTCATCGAATGTCTCGTTCTCTGTCTCACAGAAGCCTTCGCTACTCAAAGAACTGCGATTCGATTCATTCAGTTTCCCACTCTTCGGACTCATAGATGAGATCATGGGTTGAGTCATCTTAGAGGTCGATGGCGTCGGTTGCGATGACGACGATGACGATGGCGTGGCTTTCGGTTCGCTTAAATGGTTGGGCGACGGGGCGGATGTCTGTCCGATCTCTACGGATCGGCCCCTTCGCGACAAATTCTTGACGGCATTCAGACCGTCAGT